AAACCCGTCTCTACCAAAAATACAAAAAATTAGCTGGGCATGGTGGCATGTGCCTGTAATCCCAGCTACTCAGGAGGCTGAGGCAGGAGAATTGCCTGAAACCAGGGGACGGAGGTTGCAGTGAGCCGAGATCACGCCATTGCACTCCAGCCTGGGTAACAAGAGCGAAACTCCGTCTCAAAAAAAAAAAAAGAATAATGTTACCTGTGGGCTTGTCATAGATGGCCTTTATTGTGATGCAGAACATTTTCTCTGTACCCAATTTGTTGAGTTTTTATCAAGAAATAATGTTGTATTTAGTCAAATTATTTTTCTGCATCTATTGAGATATGTTTTTTTTTTGTTTTTTGTTTTTTGTTTTTTTTTTTTTTGAGACGGAGTTTCGCTCTTGTTACCCAGGCTGGAGTGCAATGGCGCAATCTCGGCTCACCGCAACCTCCGCCCCCTGGGTTCAGGCAATTCTCCTGCCTCAGCCTCCTGAGTAGCTGGGATTACAGGCACGCGCCACCGTGCCCAGCTAACTTTTTGTAATTTTTAGTAGAGACGGGGTTTCACCATGTTGACCAGGATGGTCTCGATCTGTTGACCTCGTGATCCACCCGCCTCGGCCTCCCAAAGTGCTGGGATTACAGGCTTGAGCCACCGCGCCCGGCCGATGATATGGTTTTTGTCTTTCGTGCTGTTAGTAAAGTGAATCATATTTATTTGTGAATGTTGAACATTGTTGCATGCCAGGGATAAATCCCACTTGATCATGGTGAATGATCTTTTTAATGTACTCTTGAACACAGTTTGCTAGCATTTTGTCAACATAGTACTTGAAGTCCTAGCCAGAGCAAGTAGATATGAAAAAGAAATAAAAGGCATCCAAATAGAAAAAGAAGAAGTTACATTGTCTGTTTCTTGATACATGATCTTATATATAGAAAAGCCTAAAGACTCCACCAAAAAACTGTTAGAACTGATTAGTGAATTCAGTAGAGTTGCGTGATAGAAATCAGCATTCAAAAATCAGTAACCTTTCTAATACACCAATAATAAACTATCTGAAAAATAAATTAAGATAATATGATTTATAATAGCATGAAAAAAATCTTAGGAATAAATTTAACTGAGGAGGAAAAGATCTTTACACAGACACGATAAAACATTGATGAAAGACATTGAACTCAGCACAAATAATTGGAAAGATATCCTGTGTTCATGGATTGGATGAATTATGTTGTTAAAATGTCCTTGCTACCCAAAGCAATTTACAGATTCAGTGCAATGCCTACCTATCAAAACTCCAATGTCATTCTTCACAGAAATAGAAAAATCAACTCAAAAAATTCATATGAAATCACAAAAAGACCATGGATAGTCAGAGCAATTTTGAGCAAAAAAGAAGAAACTTGGAAGTGTCACACTACATGATTTCAAAATATATTGCAAAGATATGGTATTCAAGACAGCATGGTACTAACATAAAAAAGATACCTTGACCAATAGAAGAGGATAGAAAGCCCAGAAATAAATTCATGCATTATGGTCAATTTTTTACAAAGGTGCCAAGAACATAAAATGAAGAAGGGACAGTCTTATCAATGAATGGTGTTGTGAAATTGTATATCCACAAGCAGAACAATGAAATTGAACCTTTATCCTACCCCATATGCACAAGCAACTGAAAATGGATTAAAACTTAAACTTAAGACTTTAAACTGTAAAATGGCTAGAAGAATACAGAAAAAACTTAACAACATTAATCTCCACAGCAGTGAATTTTTTGGATCTGACCCTAAAAGCACAGGTAAGAAAAGCAAAACTAGACAAGTGGGATTGTATTAGACTAAAGACCTACACGACAAAGGAAACAACAGCATGAGGAGACAACCTATAGATTTTTGTAAAATATTTGAAAATCATACATCTTGACAAGGGGCTAATATCAATATGTAAGGAACTCAAATTATAAGAAAACAATTATATTTTAAAATGGGCGAAGAACCTGAGTAGACATTTCTTGAAAGAAGATATACAAATGGCCAACAGATACATGAAAAAATGTTCAACATCAGGGAAATGCCGATTAAATCCACAATAAAATATCACCTCATGCCTGCTAGAATGGCCGTGATCAAAAAGATGAAAGGTAACAAGTGTTGATGAGGATACGGAGAAAAGAGAACCCTTGGACACTGTTGATAGGAATGTAAAATATGACTTAAAGCCATTTTGGTAAACAGTATGGAAGTTTCTCAAAAAACTAAAAATAGAACTACTATATCATCCTGCAGTCCTGCTTCTGGGGATTTATTCAAAGGAACTGAAATCAGTATGTAGAAGAGATACCTACATGCCCATGTTCATTGCTGCACTGTTCACAATAGCCAAGATATGGAATCAACCTAACTGTTCATCAGAGGATGAATGGATAAGAAAAATGTGGTGTATACACAGTGGAGTACTCTTTGGTCTTAAGAAAGCTGAACTCACAGAAGTGTGGTAGAATGGTTACCAGAGGTTGAAGGTATGGGGAGAGGAAGTGGACAGGGAAAGGGTAGAAGTTAGAGGTTTCACAGTTTCAGGTAGGAGGAGTAAGTTCTGGTAACCTACTGTACAACTTTGATGGCTATAGTTCATGATGTAGATTTTAAAATTGCTAAAAGAATAGATTTTAAAAGTTTTTATCACAAAGGATAGATTGGTAAGGTGATGAATATGTTAATTTACTGGATTTAATCATTTTACAATGTATATATGTCCATAAATCACATTATGCCTCATAACTATATAAAATTATTTGTCAATTAAGAATAAAGAAAGACTTTTAAAAATAGAATTACCAACTAATCCAGCAACCCCACTTCTAGGTATATGTCCAGAATAATTGAAATTGAGGTCTGGATGATGCAATAAACACCCCCATGTTTATTGCATCATTATTCACAGTAACCAAGAGGTAGATGTAATCTAAATGACCATGAAAAAATGGATAAAGAAAATATGATACATGCATATAATGAAATATTATTCAACCTTAAAAAAGAAAGAAATTCTGTTATATGCTACAACATGGATAAAGCCTGAAGACATTATGCTGAGTGAAGTAAGCCAATTACAAAAAACAAAAATTGCATGATTCCACTTATATGCTGTACCTAAAATAGTATAATCCTTCTAAAGCAGAAATTAGAATGGTAGATTCCAGGTACTGAGAGGAGGGTAAAAAGGGATGTTGTTGGTCAATGTATTTAAGAGTTTCAGTTTTGCAAGATGAAAAAGTTATAGATTATCTGTTAAACAATAATTTTCATACTAACACCACTACACTCTACACTTTAAAATGGTTAAGATGGTCTATTTTGTTAATGTGTTTTTGACCACAATTAAAAAAGAAAGTTAATATATGCCAATCACACAAAAATCAAAGATAGAAAAAAGCAAATCCCAAATATATTTTTTAAAAAGAATCTCTAGGAAATTGCCTTTATTAAAATGTGTTTTATATTTGTAAAGTAAAATTTGAAACTGCAAAGCAGTCACTAAATTACTAGACGCTTTATCCAAAAACTTGATGTTTCCTCAGATTCCTCTCCCTGTCACATATACATATATACACAAATAGGTATGTCTCCCCACCATGCTTTTGCATCTTCCCCTCTGAACCCAGGGAAAGACAGAATGTCTGAAAATTTGAGCTATGGTTATGAACACTTCAAAACAGCCCCAGGTGGGAGGGAACCACTGAGAAGACCTTGGACAAAGAATCATTCCCTGGTAGCTTTGGTCTGTTTTCTCTAATGGCTCTTGACAAATTACTGGAATGGGATTGTAGTAGCAAAGGTCTACCAACACATCAGGGTTTGTGGATTTATGGAGTTCTTTAAATTTATTAGTTGAGGAAAAAAAATGGTTCACTATAGTCCAACTAAAGAATAAATTTAGATCTGTATGATATTATTTTTACCAAAGAATTGAAAATAAACTGTTTTTCACTATATAAATATAATTTATATTTCTTTCACAGCCATTGTCTCATATCATGAGAATCTAGAAAATTTAGGATTAAAGGTAAACTAGTTTAAGAAGTAGTTGTTGACCAGCGCAGTGGCTCACACCTGTAATCCTAGCACTTTGGGAGGCCGAGGCAAACAGATCACCTGAGGTCAGAAGTTTAAGACAAGCCTGGCCAGCGTAGTGAAACCCCATCTCTAGTAAAAATACAAAAATTAGCCATGTGGGGTGGTGGGCACCTATAATCCCAGCTACTCAGGAGGCTGAGGCAGAAGAAACATTTGAACCTGGAAGGTGGAGGCTGCAGTAAGCTGAGATCATGCCACTGCACTCCAGCCAGGGCAAGAGAGCAAGACTCTGTCTCTCAAAAAAAAAAAAAAAAAAGAAGTTGTTTGCTGCTTAGGTTTTGTTTTTTAATTTAATAATCCATTGATGAACTACTGAAAAATGTATCTTAAATGCTTAAAGTATAAATAATACTCCAACCTTTAGCAAGTATGTCAGCTCTTATAGGTATAAAAATAGTATCTTATATAATCTGATTTATTTGGAGAAATAGAAAAACTAAGGAGACTGGATAAACTATGGATAACAGAAGAGGGCAAAGACTAAGGTAGATGTGTAACAATATTTTTAACATCTCTTGTTGACTGGCTAAAATGAAGATACTTTTTAAAATCTATCCTTTTATGCTTTTAAGAAAACATTTAAAATTAAATTCAAGTGCTGATTTAGTGTAAAATTCTATACTTTATTATTGAAGAAGCAAATCCAGAATAAACTAAACTTTTATATGTTCTCTCCTACTCCTACTTTCTGTGATGTCTATGTAATACTTTTTACAGTGGAGCCACAACATTCTTCTTTCTTCCTCCATAAAAAGCAAGATTATGAGTTACTGATAACAACTTCAGTGACCTGGAGGGAAAGATCAGGGGAGGGAGAGACCTTTCCCTTCAAAGGCTGAAAATTGGAATATTTTTGTTTTTTATTGCTTCCAGATTTTGTACTTCAGCTGCTGATTTGAAAATTAGATTGTTTACTTCAGATCTTCAAGATAAAAATGAATATAAGGTATGTTGACAGCTATACAAATCTTTAGAGTTTATTTTAACACATGTTTATTTTTTGCTGTTTTAATTGAATTTATCCCAATTTAAAATGGCTTTTTATGGTCATCATTAAAGTATATAATTTAGGGTCTCATTTACTCTATTATAGGTAATAGTAACCAGGTTACTATATTAAGAACTATATTCTTAATAATGACTGCAGATTATAAATCTCGTATCACTTATTAACTTGAAATGTTAGGTAGGAACAACAAATAAGAAAGAATTAGAAATTCAAAGTTGGAAATATTAGGAATATAATCAACATGAACATCCATAGAGTAAGAGTTGAACTTCAAGGGAACAAATGATCAGCACAGCATAGCACAGGCCAGATTCCAAAGTAGTTAAGAGCACAGACACAGAATCCAGATTCCTTGCATTTAAACCTCTGTGTTATTACTTAGTAATGGTGTGACCTTGGTTAAGTAACCGAATCTCTTTGTGCTAATATCCTCAGCTGTAAAATGTGGGTAATCATAGCAGCTGCCTTATAGAATTATCAGCGTTGACTGAGCAAATTCATATAAAACACTTAGAATAATGCTTGGTACACAGCAAAACCCATATGTGTGTTTTCTATTACCATAATAATTACCCTCAGGTTGGGCTGAAATTCCATCATGTTTTCTTATAAGAATGGTATTGCCTTGGCTTTCTAATAAACCAAAATATGAATATTGTTATAAAACAAAGATAAATGAAACCTTTCCAATCATTTAGAAAATAGTAAAAAATTATGCTCTAAGCTATTTACAATTGGCTTAACCTATTGTACAGATTGGCTGATTTAAGGCTATAACAAAAATAACCAAGTATATAAATGCACATAAAATTTTGACCTATCCAAAGTTAAAATGGTAGTTATAATACACATTAAACATTCACGGTTAATTTAGTTTGCCTTGTAGGCTATGACAGAAGCTTTGGAGAGTGATTTGGAGGACCTGGGTTGGTGAAAGTTTTCAGCAATGTTTGACCCAAATCTTTTTTCTTTTTTTCATGTTACATTTCTACATAGTTATCAGTACTATACAGAACTGCTCTAATAACCTCAGAATGAGATCAAATTTGAATTTTTGGAAAGAAGGAAGGGTAGAAAAAATGATAATCATTAAAGTAATTATCTGACAGGCCTATTTAGGATTTCAACCATGAAGATTTAGACAGATTGAACCTTACCTGCTCACACAGTCCTCTACCATGCAACTTCTCATTTGTTGCTTCTCTGTCAAGGCAAAGATTTTTGTGTTGATGATGACTATAGTCTTACAACAACTAGCTGTCTTCACTGCTGGCAGTCACATTGAACATGTAAATGAAGGCATTAGATCATGAAGTCCATCCTGTGTGTGTTTGTTAAGTAGTAGTGAGTATACAGAGCAACAGTTATAAGGTAAAAAACCTAGAGGCACTCTACCTCAGTACTCCTAAAAAGTTTTCTAGCTCTAATTTTTATTTAAGCTTTATATAAAAAGAAAGGAGGTGATATGAGGACAGGTACAATAAAAATGTATGTGTGTTTTTGTAAGAAATGCATACTAAAAAAGAAAGACTAAGCTAATAGTGTGTTGAATGATCAATTTCTTTCCAAGATAGACCTTCCAAAAAGTGGGTGTATAAATCATGCTTTAAAAATAGCAGATTGCTTAAGAAATATTTATAGAAAAACATGCAGTGAAAGCTTTTAAGGCAGTGAAGCAAAAATATTGTGTAGGAATATTATAGATTTTCCTGTTTTCTTACTAAGTTTTCTCTTTCTGTCAGGTTTTAGAGGGCCATTCAGATTTCATTAATGGTTTGGTGTTTCATCCCGAAAGTGGCCAAGGAATTGCAAGTGTGAGTGACGATCATACCTGCAGGTATGTTGCTTATGTTATAACCACATTTGTAAATTTTCATTTTATTTTAATGAGAATTATATTTTTTGAATGAGAAAAAAATGTGACTTTTATATAAATTCTATAGAGTGTTGTAAAAGAAGCATACCTTATTTGAACTGTAGGTATGACACAAACATGAGTTTCAAAACCAGTGAGTTGGGTCCTCGTCGCCGTTAATGAAAAGTTCCCTTGCCTCCCTTGGGTGTCTTTTATGTCTTATTTCGGATTTTGACATTTACGAAATCCAAATATGTATCGGGCTAGGCACAGTGGCTCACACCAGTAATCTCAGCTCTTTGGGAGGTCAAGGCAGGTGGATCACCTAAGGTCAGAAGTTCACGACCAGCCTGACCAACATGGCAAACTCCATTTCTACTAAACATACAAAAATTAGCCAGCAGTAATGGTGTGCACTTGTAATCCCAGCTACTTGTGGGGCCAAGGCAAGAGAATCTCTAGAACCTGGGAGACTGAGGTTGCAGTTAGCCAAGATTGTGCCACGGCACTCAAGCCTGAGTGACAGAGCGAAACTCCGTCTCAAAAAAAAAAAGCCCAAACATATATTGGATCAAATTCCCCAATACTGGACAAGATGCGTAGGAATAAAATGCAGTTGTCAAGTTACCTCACAGAGCCTATATAAGTTAGTGTTTAATAATGAACTCTAACTCTTATCTGCTACATAAGACTGATGGAAAATTTAGTGTTTTGATAAATTCAGAGGTTTCTACATAAGGTTTTATGTAGATACAATACATGTCACTATTTTGTTCTTGTACCCCACCCCCTAACTTAGGACAGATGAGGTAGCTATAACATTTTAATAGTGCCTAAAGCTGGAGAATATCACAAGTAAAGAACAAGATGAAAACAATAGCGGGTTGAAATAAGCTGAGCAGTCAGGAGTGAAATGAGTGCGTCAGTCATTGGAAGGGTGTCAGTTGCTTCATTTGCTTTAACAATACTTTGAGGAAGCAAAAAACTGCTGCTCTGCTGTTTTACATAATGTTTTATAAAACTGTGCCAAAATCCTTAGTATTTATTGGTACTTATGTACATATAAAACTATTAAATATGTATGACTTCACATTAGAAGTAAAGCTGCTAGCTACATTTAAAATTTTTAATCTTCTTAATATAACTCATCCTTTTAAAGTGATAGGGTCATAGGTCATTATTCTTTATGTGCTGCCTGTTAAAATTTTTATGTCAGAGATATGACAGATTTACATGACATTAAGATTCTGAGGCCCCAGGTATTACAAAACCAAGTTGGTATAGTGACCCGAAGAGTAAATGGAATCGTTTTAAAGTAAAAATTCAGTCACTGGAAATAAATAATGGCATTTCAGCTGTTTAAAAGATAGACTCTCCTAATCACAAGTATTTTAAATAATGAAACCTGCAAAGGGGGAAAGTGAGTGTCTTTGCAAGCCAAGGGATAACCTCTGAATAGTGAGCAAAAGCTGTAGAGACCTAGGATCATCATGCTCAGTAGTCTGTGTTTGCTTGTTTGTTTTTCTTAGGACTTTTAGATTTTTTTGTAAACTAGCAAATTTCTCCAAAAATTTAGGGGACTGACATAGCGTTGCTAACTTTTTATTTTTTCAAATACAAAGCTTTTAAGTTTACTGCCTTCTACCATTATCATTTTATAAAAGAAATGACGTTATTACTCTAAAAAGTAGGAAAGGCCTAACTAAAGAGTAAGTCCTTTCATTTAAATAAATTTAATTTTTTAAAAACCTCACTACACTGCCTCTAAGTTTCTCATTTTGCTAGACTCGTTGTTGATATTACTGTTCAACAAATATTTGCTCTCCTTTCCCTTTCCCATGAAGGAGAAACTGATTGTCCTTAGCTTGTGAGTTGTTTAGGCCATTGTAGCATTGACAGATGTGACAGCAGAAACTTCAAATATTTTACCTGGTTTGACTTGACCTCCTGTGCTCTGTCATTTTCTATGGGATGAGCATGTCCTAGATAGCTACTAATCCCAGAATGAGAAACACATGGAGCAGATATGGACCCATATGGCATTATAGAAACAGAGCTTCTTATACACCTATGTGCAAGAATTTATGCTTATTTTTGTAAACTACTGAGATTTTCGGATTGATGCACAACATCAAAATAGCAGTATTTTTAGAATTTACAGCTTAGTTCACCAACTAAAAATAAACAACTCTGATTGGTTATTAAAGCCAAACCTCTTAAGCCAAAACCTAAGCAATACAAATAAGATTTTTTTAAAAACAGTGCATATATAAAAAGTTTAAAATGAGAAAGAGTAGATAGTATCATACACTCTAATAGGAAGGAAAGAAGGAATTCTGAGAGGATGTATGCTATCACATATATCACAAAAGAGACTATATCATATGAGCAGTCCTACAATATGTATTCTGTACTATAAAGAGTAGACCTGGTGCTTACTTTTAAAAAAAATTTTAACCTCAGTATTTTGATCTATGCACATTTTCTGATGTTTGACAATTCCAAGAAAGACGTGATATTATAATCAGCTAGCAGAATTTTGCCCTATGAACACTATTTTAAAACAATCTGTCGCCTGAATAGATTTCGTGAAATATGTGTGTTTTATTGAAAATTGCCAAATTCTGAATCAAACAGAATAGAGTCACACTGTGAACCAAGATAACGACTCATAATACAAAATGTTATTATGGAAGAGGACAAATTACTTTTTATCTAAGACTCCATCTAGTTTTACTATTCTGTGATCTATGCAAGTTTGTAAGAAAATTGAGTTTTCATTTAAATCACCAGGCCTTTATCAGTTTTAACACTGCCTTTCTTAACATCTTATAATGTCTACCACACCTTTTAAAGTGAAACTCACAGAAAATGTAGCCTTCCAAATATGTAAGTACAAAAAATTATTGTACCTTAATTGTATGATACATTTCTATAGAAGAAAAACAAGTAGAATAATAATGCATTATGTATAAGCTCACATAAAACTACATATGAAGACATAGTGGGATAGTCTTTGTCCTTCTTTATAATGAATAAGCCTAGATATCAGAAAAATAAGATAATAGGAAAATGTAAGGCAGAGGCAAGGCAGTCACAGTTCTAGGGATTTATGAGCTGTATGGAGTATAATGTAAATAGTGCCATCTGGAGTTCTACAGTGTCATAGCCCTGAGCAGATCTATAGTTTTAGGATAAAAGCTCATGTTAGTAATAATAGAATGAAATTAAATCTCATAAGAGAAATAGGGAAATACAGGTAATCAAAATAGGAATAACAGCAAGACAAATCATAGGATATCAAGTTGAAAAAATAAGGAAAAATAATATTCTTGCAAATCAGCTAGTTTTTATATGTATAGTATCAAAATAATTCACTGTTATGCCGTGGAATGAAATATTAATGTAGATTGCAGACAATATTTCTTTTGAAATATCCCCACTTATTGGGATTTCCATAGTTCACTCACTCATTCAAAAGTCATATAGAATGACTAGCACCACTGGCTCTCATGTGACAACCCAATCATTAGGACAATCAAAAATTGCCCTTTAGGTATTAGACCAATCCCATGTTGAGAATCATTGTGTTAGATAATAATATGTGACCAGGCACTATTGTGAGCATGTTTTTATGAATTTACTAATTTAATCCTCAAAAACCTTATGGTATAGATTCCTTTATTATTTCCCTTGTAAAGCAGTCTGTCTCTTAATACTGAAGTATACTGTGTCTACTTTAAGATTCTCTAAGAAGTTTTAGTCTTTTTGGGTTATTGAAAAAGCAGATGTTCATATTACCTGTCAAAATCAAGCATTATATATGGCTTAATAAAATTTATAGAATTGCATTTAGAGTCGTGTCTGTAGAAGTGTCATCAGCTTCTGCTGGCAAAGAATTTATAGTTTTATAAGATACCTTTGCCATCACACCCTAGTACCGATTCTTGAAATGAAGATGTTAGGTTCCTTCTTCATACTGCATTAGCCCAGTTATTCAGATAAGGAAGAGGAGTAAATGCAAACTGCCACAGAGAACTGCCTGGTATCAGTGATGCCTAAGTAACAGACTGCTGCTGAGAAACAGGTTTTTCTGGGGAATGAGGAAAGTTACTCTGGAGTAGATTGCTTTAGACTGTCACTAATAAGGTATTTTGTGGATTTGGCCATGCTTTGCCGCCACAGAGGACATCACAGAACTTAGAAGAATGCTCTTCTGGTAGTACTGAGTGAGTGGGTGCAGTATATATACTTTTATGAAAAGTATGTATCTTTATGAAAAAGGTATAAAGTATATCTTTATGGAAAATATGTATCTTTATGATGAAATATGTATCTTTATGAAAAAGGTGCCATTATTGAAACAAAGAGCATCTAATAGATGTATTTAATAAAAGGAATTGCAAAGCAAAGCATGGGGTTGCTAGTCATTCAGCCTCATATTCTACACCATTTTCTTTATGATCCCTCATCATGTCTATCATATGCAAATGCACTCACACGCATATACACATATACATAAATGTATATACACATATATGCACAGGATGATACAAATACTGATGCTTCGGTGTGTATTTATATATGTATATGCACAGAAAAATATAAATACTGATGTTCATATTTATGACTTAGTGTCATTGAAAGAAGGCTAAAATAATCACAGTATTTGAGACGTTAAAAAGTACATATTCATTTAGAAAAAAATATTATCTCCTACTTCCGAAAGAAGGTAAAAGTGTCATTTAAGTATTTAATGGGTTAAGCTTATTATTTTAAAAACTCCCTAATGCAGAACATCTCATTCCCAGTCCATGCCAAATAACAGATGTTCTTGTATATTAGAAACAGTACCATTCTGTAAGAACAAGTCATATCAACAAGTATTTATTAAACACGTTTAGTATAGCCAACATTTAGTACTTTGGGGGATACAAAAGAAATTCAAGACCCCAGTACTCACTGTAACTACAGAGGATATC